AATACTTCTGAGAAAACGTACACGTAATTTCATAGATTAAAAACCCACCAATAAAAACGTAATGCGGTACAAGACTTACTTACCTACTTATACTTTGCTTGCCTGGGTGTCTGTTTGTATCTAAAAAAAACATAAAAACGACTGAACCGATCGGGCAAAAAGTTTGTATGGCAACTCAAATGCCCCCAGGGAGGGTTTAAGTCTGGTCGGAAAGTTGAAAAATTTTGCCTCGAAAAAATCTAAGTTGTTAATGGGAAAGAGGAAGCGCCCTAAACGAAAAGCATTATGATTAATTAATTAATGATATATTCGCGGGAGCGGTAATTTAATACAAGATATATTTTAGACTCTGCACTCACTGCAGTTTAGAATGAGATGATTTTTTTCTTCTTCAGATAAGATGTTTGATGGGAAAAAATAAAATGAGATGATACAGGAAGCTCCCTCAAGGGACATCTATCAGAGCCCCCTAGTGGAATACATCACTATCTATTCAATCATCTAATCATTCATTTTATATAAATTCCTCCATCTTTTTTTATGACTTATTTTGGAGATCCAACATCTCGCTTATTTTGACGTGTTTCTTACATATTACGAATTTTATAAGTTATAAGAAGTTATGATTTGAAATATATAAGATTTCAATCTTACGTGGAATTTATACTTTAGTTTAATGTTTAAAAAACTGTAATCTATAAAAGCTTGATTATTCATGGTTGCAATAAAGAATGCTGAAAAATGGCGGACGATCTACATAAACTAATTATATCTTAAATATGCATAAATTTATGGTTCGATTATATTCATATACAGGTGCATACCTCATCCACTATTACAAGTACAGCATCTGCAGCAGAATACCGATTTATAAGAAGGGTCAATTAAGCGTTTAAAAAAATACTACGAAGTATGGATNCTAATTTTTATCAATATTTTTAAGCACAAAATTGTTTAATGTTTTACAAATATTATTTTTGTTCAATTTAGAAATTTGAACGCGCTTCCTTAAACGTAAATATACTTTACTCTATATAATAAATGAAATGTCACAATTGATAATTAATTATATAATTTATCAACATAATTCGTACTGTTTTCTAACCCATTATTATGTTATTATATCATTATATTATTATCATTATCACAATCATTAAAGGAAAAACTAAAAAGTATAATTACATAGGAAAAAAATACGTATAGTTATCGTCGTGTATATCAATACAATAAAGACGACTTTATATTTCTATTTTGATTTCATACCAATCTTTCAAACAGGCTCAAATCTCGAAACACTAAATTTAAAGTGAAACCAACCATGTTTGAGTCGCGTCTCAAATTTGAAATGCGACTCAAATAATTCTTTAAATTCAGCCTCTGAACATTTTTGTCAAAGACTCAATTCCTTTGATATGTAGAATATCATATATCTAAAGTTAAGTTTTGTTAATGGTTAAACTGGTAGATTTTGTTTACTGATAAAATGATCGATAATCACCAATATATGTAAAGTCTAAATGACACAAAAACATTTAAACTAAAATGAAAATTTTCAATCCAGTGTTTGGAAACCATGAATTGTAAGAACTTTTAATCTTTAATAATATATTTAATCTTTTAGAAAAAAGTTGAGGGGAGAAGGAAGGGAATCGATCAGTAAATCTGATGAGTGGAGAGTGGAAGAAACTGTTGATAGGTTTGTTTTCATTTTTTTAAAATTGCCAATTTTTTTCTTTATACTTAACATAGATGCATGGTTTTAATAAAGAATAAAATTTTCCCAATATTCTTCTTTTCTATCCATTTTGTCCACTTATTCACTTTATTTAACTATGTTGCAGAATATTTTTATTTTTTTTCTCTGTCTGAATAAGCTGTGCACAGTGCGATGTTTTCTGTGCACAGAGGTTTGTTTTCATCAATACATAATAATAACCACAGTCCCCGGTCTTTCCCGTGAAATCTTAAAAACACATTGGAAAGAAAAAATTCTAATTATATAAAACTTGAAAAAATCTTTTTTAGTCCAAGTATTAAAAACGTTTAATTGACTTATCAATAAGCATAAGAAAATTCAAAATTAAGAAATGCTAAATTTTTACGCATCCTTAGCTTTGTAAATGTCTGTGTGATTCTCATTTATTTTAATGCATTGTTATTTTTCCGCCTTTTGCGTAACAATTAACAATTTATAAATCATTTTTTTATCCGACAATAATAAACAATTTCGTGATACGCAATTTCTCTGTGACCTTTTTAATGCAAAAAAATGGTCCCACACAAAAATAAAGATGTAGTATCTAATATTTTAAAAATTGAAGAACATTTTTTGAAGTGAACTATTTATGAATCTTGACCAACCATAAACCAAGCCGGAGTCCAACAGATATGTGTGGCTTTATCAAATTAACAAACACAACCTAGATAAATTAGACTAGATTAGATAGCTCATGTCGTCTTCTCCATACCGGAGTGTTTCAGCTGAAATTGAAAATATGAATTTAGCTCTGTTCTAGCTATAACATCCGTACAGTACATTGAATAAAATGAGTTGTGGCAAGTATTGTTTATAGTACCGTCCGTACAGTACATTGAATAAAATGAGTTGCGGCAAGTAATATTTATATTCCGTACAAATGTAAGGGGTGTGGTATGTTTTGTATAGAGGACCAGTAATTTACCTAATGCAGAATGACAAGATACTGATCAGTTAAAAATAGTTTTCCACAGAAGTAAAGCGTAAAGGGGTTGTACAGTTTTCAGCTTTATAGTCTGCATAAGCAATCTATTCTAATGTATCTAGGAAACACAAATATTTATCTATTTTGTCGAGATGTAAGTAAAAGATACGCCTAATTATGAGTGACCTCGGAGCTTTTTCCGTATTAATTTAGCACCCAAATATGGGAAAATAAAAGTTACTTGTTGGTATATTCCTAACCCAGAAAGAGTCTTAACTAACCTAACCCGTGGCCGCAACGCTCGGACCAGAAATTGTCTTAACCTAACCTAACCCTAAATAAAAATAAATGAATACTAATTTACTAATTTCGTCATGTACGAAATTGATAGGAGGGGGGGCCTGGGGGGGCGGGGGTCCAAAAATCGTTCACTAGGACAGACCCTTACTTGTTAACATATTAGAAATTCAAAACGTTTATATTTTTCTCTATAGCTCTTTGCAGAAAGAGAGTTTATGATTGAAAGGATGCTAGATTTCAATCAAGCATAAAATAAATTAAGTCTTTGACACAAACTCAGATTGTATAACTCCAATATCTTTGCTACACAATGTACGGGACCTTATATATTTTAAACTAGTCTATAAATACTGTTAGATCAAATAATCTAAGTTTGGAACTTCAAATATTTACACCATGTGATTACAAATTTTCTAATCCCTATCTTTGCAATCTGATGGTGTAAATCTTTGATTGTTTGATCGAACAGAATTCATAGTTTGAAATAGTAAAGATCTACGCTAATTGGTTGCAAAGATATGAGAATTAGAACATCAGAGTTTGCTGCGAAAATTCAAATCTTTGACGTGAAATAAATTCTATGATATTTAGTTGGGTTGAGACTGAGCACCGTGGCGTGATGCAGACCCTTGACCGGCGCATATCAGCTAGCTCGGACCAACTGGATACACTACGCCGAGAACGTCGAGCTGCAGCTAGGCCTGTCAGAACCAGATCCAGCTATAGACATCTAGATATACCAGACAAAACTAGGCATCTAGATATACCAGACAAAACTAGACATCTAGATATACCAGACAAAACTAAGCACAGGTAACAAAATAATTTTCTAGAAATTGTTTATAATACTTTTTTTAAATATATTACATAATTCAAAGTTTGAAATATCAAAGGTCTGCGACATTGGGTTGCAAAGATATAGGAATGAGAAAGTCAAAGTTTGTGGCAAAGACTCAATTCCCTTGAACCATTTTGTGTGATGTTTATCAATTTGTTTTGATAATGATAGCTTCCAGGGATAACAAATATATACTGTGTATATTAGCGTCCTTATACAGGGTAATTTAGGTTAAATTACTATCTCTGATCAATTGTTTTTATCATTGCAAGATATTTATTTGATTGCGATAAGTACGGATAAAAACTGTTCTTCAAGGAACAATATTTTGAAAAAAATAGTCCTTACAAAAGGAATTAGCGATTTAAAACAAATCTTTTAATAAACTTCAATTAATAAGCTTTTTTTGAACCATCTATTTATCGCAGCTTTTGAATAAAATTAAGCGAATAAACAAAATTTAACAGTTCAAAAGTTTATACTTTCTAAAGTTAAACCTTTTGTACTGTAAATCTCGTAATCAATCATTGATCTCCATCTAATGCAGATCTTTAGATTACTTTAATCAAAGATTCCTCCAAACATTTTAAAGTGTCCACATTGGATATTGAGGTCAAGCGTGCAAGATTTACACAAAATTCCCGCTCTCAGGGGTTCTATAGTAATTAGAGAATTGAGTTTCAGGGAAATATTGAATTATTACCAGCTTGAAACCCAGCTTTACCTGGAAAAATGGAAATAACAGTTTTGTTATAAAAAATCTCAACTTTGAACCATGTTAAGAACATTTTAATGGTTTTACGTAGTTTTCCAAACATCCAAACATATAAAAATCAAAACATCCAATCATCCAAACATATAAACATCCAAACATATAAACATCCAAACATCCTAGCATCCAAACATCCAATCATCCAAACATCCAAACATCCAATCATCCAAACATCCACCCATCCACCTAAACAGACGAACAGAGATTACTGCTTCATATATATATTTAGTAAGACCCCGTTTGAAATGTTCCTAGAGGATGATGGACCCTACTCAAGAAAACTCTATGGACCTGTTCAGGTATAATTTATGTTATGTACATAATACAAGATATGTGCAATATGTACAATAGTGCATTATATAAAATTTATTGAATATATGAAATATATAAATATATTTGGTGTTTTTTTTGTCCACTATATTTTATTAAAATGAACATCAAATATTATTTGAAATAAACCCTTGAATTTTATTATAAACTAAGCTTTCGTTTCTTACTGCAGCCATCTGCAGTACTCTGATTGAATAATTAGCGGGTTTTAGCAGAGAGTGATATATTTGTTTATTATGCTAAGTTTTACTCTTGAAAGGGTTACAATGGTGTTACAGTTGATAAATTTAAATTTTATTTGTTTGTCATCTGAGATAATTGTCCACAATTAAACCATTTTATTTTCAAGGTGATCATTATAATCAAGTCATCTAATCTTCTCAAAACTTCAAAATATATCTTGAATTTCAAACAAATAAGAAATTAGAGATTTAGCAAGACTTTTATTGTTTTTTGCCAACCCTGCACTCTGCAGGCTCGTGGCTTTTTTAAAATACGAAACTGACCAATTAATGGAGAAAACTTTTCGATTTTTTAAATTCAAGATTCATATTTCAATTTGTCTAATCCAGTTTCAAAACTTTGGATCTTGGAAAAACTCAACTGATTTTGAATCAAAGAAAAATATTGATTTACATTTTAAAATTTAACCCGGGGTGATTTACATTCCACTGGAGGGATTCGGATATTCATCTTGGAGGTTTCAAATTCCACTGGATAGAGAACTAAATCCCTCCAGTGGAATTTTTAACCCTCTAGATGGATATCTGAATCCCTCCAAAGCTGGGAACTTTTGAATGGTGGATATCGGGATTAATGCTTGATTCACTCTTTTTCTTAATTTTAAGATTAAATATTGCTTGTTCTCCTCTTCTTATTAATCTCCAGATTGATATTCGAATTGAGATTAAGGACATTCTATTCTAAAGTTTCCAGCTCAGTGGAATCATAATCACTCCATGGATGGATATCTCAATCCCTCCAGTGAAAATAAATCACCCTGCGAAAAGTTTCAAATTGTAAAAAGCAATTTTCAAACCCCTCCAGTGAAAATAAATTCCCTCCGGTGGTCTCCAGTGGAGTCGAAATCTTACTACGAACTTCCGTGACTCAATGATTTTATATATTTTGAGCTGTGAACATGAAACATAGAAATTGTGTAGAGTACTCAGACCTATTTCACTTAGTTTAGATTTTCAAGCTATATAGTAATGTACTATTTGCTTTATTTATATACATCAGATAAAAACTGTTTAAAATTTATTAAATGTCGTATTTTTATTCGATAAATATATGGGCCTTACTGTACTGCATTTTTATTTCAATTAAGTTTGTTTAAAAATATCATCTTTCTTAAATATGATTCATTATTTTAATTATCTTCTATATTTGATTTAATTACTACCTAATTTAGTTATAATTTGAGTTTGTTTGTTGAGTTGGGGTAATTACTGGTTTTTTACCATTTAATTTTAGTTCTTTTCAATGAGAAAAACAGGATACACAATTAAAGAATTAGACTCAAATGAACTTAATTTGCACTTAATATGATTCGGCAAAATCAAATATGATATTGCAAAGAAACTATAATTGCAATCAGTTCATTTATAAGACTAAGCTACAGCTACAGCTACAGCTACAGCTTCAGCTACAGGACACTAAATAAAGGACCTGGATACCAGAAACCAGACACAGAATACAGGATACAGGATACTGGATACATGCAGGATATAGGATACAGGATACAGGATACTGGATACAGGATACAGGAAACAGGATACAGGATACAGGATACAGGATACAGGATACAGGATACAGGATACAGGATAGAGGATACAGGATACAGGAAACAGGATACAGGTTACAGGATACAGGATACAGGATACAGGATACAGGATACAGGATATAGGATATATATCTAGGTTGAAGACCTACCGAGGCCAGTAAAGCGAGGTCTGCTTTGGCAACAAAAGGACAGATTATTCTCCAGGTTTTACATTTTAATAAATAAAACAAATGTTTTGATAAATATTTCTATCTGACGTCAAAGTAAAGCAAATTGTAAATTTCATCGTGACTTCTAAAATTGAAGAGTTGTAAAGAAGAGACAAATGTTTTGAATCTCTAATATGTAACCAAATATATTTGCTTTTCTCATAGTTAAGCATAAAATGAAAACTAAAGGAAGTTAAGAGGTCACAAAGTTGTACCAGTGAGGTTGAATAAATTTCAATTTCAATTTCAATTTCAATTTCAAGAAGTGATCTTAAAATCAAATACAAATTTTAGATCTAAAAAATCTAAAAATATAAGGTGTTTATGTTTTTAACAAAATTAATTCTCATTTTTTTTATCTTTTTAGGTGGAGAGAACGATATTTTGTTTTAACCAAGGACTATATTAGGAACTTTATCAAGAAATATTAATTTTCAGGATCTATGCTCTTTAAAGGAACTTTAAAAATAAAAAAGAAAGATATCGTCGATTTTCAGTTTGAAAACTGAAATAAATACAATATCCTTCATGTGTCTATTGCATAAATCCGTCACTTTATAAAAAGAACCCTCAATTGAAAATAAAAAATTTTTATCTAAAATTTTCATTTGTTTTTGTGGGTCGTGACATGCATCATATATATATATAGATGGGGGTAACTTCAAATTACGAGTTTAATCCCTTTTCAGAATAAACTTGATAAGTTTGATCCCTAGTATAATCCCTTCTAAGAATAAACTTGATAAGTTTGAATCCTAGTATAATCCCTTTTCAGAATAAACTTGATAGGTTTGATCCCTAGTATAATCCCTTTTAAGAATAAACTTGATAAGTTTGATCCCTAGTATAATCCCTTTTCAGAATAAACTTGATAAGTTTGATCCCTAGTATAATCCCTTCTAAGAATAAACTTGATAAGTTTGATCCCTAGTATAATCCCTTCTAAGAATAAACATGATAAGTTTGATCCCTAGTATAATCCCTTTTCAGAATAAACTTGATAAGTTTAAGTGGATAAACGTGGATATATGACAATTGTCATTTCACAGTTTAAAGAAGGGAAAATACTTTTACGGTAAGATTAAAAGTTTTTGAAATATCTATTTAAAATTGTGATTTTTTTAGGACAACTCAGGGTTTACAGGACTGGTATAATATATTACAGGTAATGAAAATAATAAAAATATAAAGTTTTTTCTTTATATTATCACTGATTAAAACCAGCATTAACAAATTACCCTCTCTCCTTAGTTCTTTAACTTTTTGAGCATACATCTTAAGGTAGTGTAGAATATGTAGGCTTTATTTCAAGTAAACCTCCATTTTAAAAATGGTATGTCCGAATCACAAGGTTACCTCTTTTTGATTCACATTTTCTATCTTAAACCGTGTTAAATTCTGGCATAAATCTGCAAAACCATTTTTTGCAGAGAAACCAAAATTGCAATAATATATTTTCGGAGAAAAAAAGAAGGATAACTCCTTTATCCCTGATCAAGCAAAGGTTAACAGGGTTCCGTTGTGAATTGGACATGCCACTTGAAAGTGTATGTACACTACAGTCCCTTTAAATGCCGTGGTTTAGGCTGCTTCCTATGAGAGTAAGAAGCGCCGGAAATTCTGGGTGACAGGACAGGGAGCAGTAGAACAGTGGTTGCTAGAGAAACAAGGTACTTACTTAATCACTTTTAGATATTTACATCCTTGCATACAAACTGAGGAATATGGAAGACGACTCAAAAAAATGAGTTGATAGGTTACTAAAACTATTTGCTTTGTTTGCAACAATATACAAACTTAATTATTGCTTTAATGTCGTCTTCCTATTAAGGACATAATGTGACCCCAGGAAAGGTTTATGAATGATNTCACTTTTTTATATAAATCTTTTCTTTTTCTAAATTCTATTCATGTAAATCAAGACAACTGTAAAAGTTTCATCAATATTCGAAGCCGAGTTGGCTTAAAAGTGCCGCAACACCTAGCCTTTTATTTTACCTTATACTAACTCTAAACTGTACTCATTCTATTTTTGAAGGTTTTGTATTTCGGATCCAAAAGATCCTTAAATATTCCTGAATACAGAAAAATCTGTTTATTGGTGTTGTAATCCAGTTGTACACAATGGAACCTGCTGTGAAAATATCGCATTCTAGCCTTTAATAAATCTCTGTATTCTATTATGTGTTATAGTCAAAGATATCCCATATTGACGTGTACGGTCTCTTTAATGTCTATTTTCTAGAGAACACTTAATATTGACGTGTACGGTCCCTTTAATGTCTATTTTCTAGATAAACACTTTATATTGACATGTACGGTCCTTTAATGTCTATTTTCTAGATAAACACTTTATATTGACGTGTACGGTCCTTTAATGTCTATTTTCTAGATAAACACTTTATATAGACGTGTACGGTCTCTTTAATGTCTATTTTCTAGATAAACACTTTATATTGACGTGTACGGTCCCTTTAATGTCTATTTTCTAGATAAACACTTTATATAGACGTGTACGGTCCCTTTAATGTATATTTTCTAGAAAACACTTTATATTGCCGTGAACGGTCCCTTTAATGTCTATTTTCTAGAAAACACTTTATATTGACGTGTACGGTCCCTTTAATGTCTATTTTCTAGATAAACACTTTATATAGACGTGTACGTTCCCTTTAATATCTATTTTCTAGATAAACACTTTATAAAGACGTGTACGGTCCCTTTAATGTCTATTTTCTAGAAAACCTTCTGACTACACCTGCCATGAAACCAGATAACGATGTCAACAACAACAATTTGATCAACAACAGCAGTAGCAACAACATTAACCTGAATAAAAACAAAGCCAAGGAGAGCAGTACCACCACCAATATCAATCCTCCAAGAGGGATTAATAGGTTATCACGTAAGTTCATGTTTTACATAAACATATTATTGTCCTTTGGTTTTTAAGCTTACCTCACAAAAAGATTTAAATTATTTATTTTTTTTAGTTGTAACGGATTTATTGATGGGCGAGGTTGTCTCAGAGTTTACAAGTTCCCGGGACCCTATCCAGGCAGGTTCCCGGGCCCCTAACCCAGGTGTACCAAGAACCCAAGGTGGTTCCAGGACCCATATTGAGCCTGTAGTTGTACCTAAAGGAGGGTCCAGGGACCCAGTAGTTGGACCTAGGATAGGTGTGATGAGGTCCAACACAAGGGTCCCCTACAGGGGCGAGATAGACCCCTCGAGGGGGGCCAACTATCTAGATGAACCCTCTGAAAGGATCAGGGGCGCCCCTGAACATGAAGTGTCCAGGGGCAACTTTGTGAGGGGTGAACAGGATTCAGGGGTAGACTCAGGACACTCTGTCAATACATGTAAGTTTTTATCTTTAATCCATTAGAGTAGAACTACAGTTATAACTTTTAATAGAACATGAGACAAAGCAATTGTGCAGTGTCACGAGAAAACAGTTTGCTTTGTAACAAAATCAAATACACTTAATTCGTGCTTATTCCAATGTTTTTTGGTGTTCTCTGCATGGAAAGAGGGATAGGACGTGTGTTAGATTTTACTGTGAAATATTAGAAAAGCTGAAACAATAATATTTTGTTATTCCTGAAAAGAGGGTCGGACTCCATTATGTTTTGTTTATCGAATCTTGTTTGTTAAAACCCGTCATAGAAAAATGTAAACACACTTTATTTTCCTAAAAGACCTTCTATATAAAGATGCTGTATCGGAAAATCTACGCAAGTTCTACGGACTTTGTTTGGTCTAATATAGATGTAACAAATGTCATTTTTTCTAATGAATAAAGGCATATTTTGCTTGGTCTAATAAAGATTGTTAATAATTGTCGTCTTCTCTGATGAATAAAGGCATTTTTTGCTTGCTTGGAAGTTTCATTCCATTTAATATGATTCATACTTTTGAACCCAAATCCTAACAAATCAATTGACGAATTAATGGATTAGATATGCATACATTTATGCAAAATTATTTCCTTGCTTATGAACAAAAAAGGCGACATTAGCTCACATTTTTTAACGTTTTATATTGGATATATTTAGTGTCCTGCCTAAAAAGTCATACCGTACCACTTGAAAAAACATATTTGACTACATCTGAAAATTTTCAAGAACGATTATTGGCTATTTTTCATACAAAATATATGGGTAACTTCACAAATTCAGGTTTATTTCAACAACAAATCCTTTTATCTAACAAATGATTAAATAACTTTTGAATTACAAATTGATTTTTAATGTTGATTGTTGAACGCTCAAGCAACCAAAATACTCAACGATGTCAAGTATAACAGCTGAACAGAGCGTACACAATAGTCAGCACTCCTGTATGGAGAGTCCATTAGCGCCTGATCCAATCAGGGTTCAGTAATGTGTTTGGTGTCTATTCTGAACCAATAGAAATAGTATGGCGGTAACATCAATCTTTCTATCTATATTATTATCCAATCAGAGTTATGAATCCTTCAATCGGCGCTATCAGTAAATGGAAATATTTACTTCTACTGAAACTATGTTAACATGAATCTCTAGTTCAGTATCTTAAAAGAGAGCATCTTTGATTATCCTTACCTTTGTTCTAGTATTAACTATAATATCGGCCTCATGGATTCAATATTACAAATAAAAAATCTTCAGGAGAAATGTCCATTGCGAAGGCCTAGCTAATCCGACCGTTTGGTTTTCCTGAAGCATAAGATTGCATACCATTTTTATGTAATGATAGGACGACCTTTAATGGTGACTAGAACACAGTCGAGTAACTCTTGTAATGCCTGTAATTTGTAATTGTTATAAAAAACGTTTGAGAAATCAAAATTTTTTATGAAAAAGAAAAATTTCGAGTCAAATTTTATTCACTAGGCTTTTAGTGCGCTTCACGCCCATCTTCTATTTCAACTTTTAATTGTGGCTTTATCTCTGAACATCTTCTCTTTGTACAGTATAAAACAAAACAAAAAAGTTTCCAGATGTCATAATATTTTTTTGCGCATTTTCAAAATTTTTCAAAAATAAAAAACTTTTAAACACAATTTTTTAAAATTTTGATCATTCATAAACCTTCCCTGGGGTCACGTGANTAGATAGATAGATAGATAGATAGATAGATAGATAGATAGATAGATTGGGGAAGGGGGAAGGGGAAGGGGGGAAGGAATCAGGGACAAAAAGCTTGGTTTAGAGACAGTGTATTATTACAGGGTGGGTTAGGTGTAAAGGTCGCACCAGCTCATTTGTCATTTAGCCTTTTATACAAATAGATAGATAGATATATAGATAGATAGATAGATAGAAAGAAAGATAGATAGATAGATATTTGTAAAAAAAAATGAGAGTTAACACTATTTGAAGTTGTCTGTGACTTTTTTTTATTTTTGCTCAATTTTGTTATATTTATGCATATTTGTTTATTATGGATAATATATATTTGTTTATCATATATATATATTCAAAGTAGTAATCACTGTTTGGGTTTTTGTTTTTTGTTTGTTTTTGTTTGTCAGTCCAATGATATCTCATGAACCCCCGGACTGATTTTCCTCAAATTTGGACTTTTTGGAACCCGGCTGAACCTCGGGAATATTCTTAGCTTGGTCTAATGATTCCAAGTTGAGTATAAGGTTGGAATTTACACGAAAATTCTGTTTCCAGGAAAAACTGTGTTCCCAAGATACAATAAATAAACAAAAAATGCAAAATTGAATGAAATGAAAATTGACTCACTCTGCATATCTCTCTCTGTATATGTTTTACTGCGAATTCTTATCTATTTATAACCCCTAACTTTCTCGACAACCATCGTAAAATTATAAATTAATAAAATTATTCTTAAAAAACATCTCAATTTATTTATTATTCAGCCTGTGACAGCCAGTCTGAGAATAATTCTGGTGAGGAGGATAGAGTCCTGCGGGCAGCAGATAAACTAGAGCGGGTGCGGGTTGAGAACATGAAAAAATATGATACTCCTGACCTAATCAAATCCTCGGATAGTCTTATCAAAAGATTAGGTAATTTTTTATATTTATTATAATTACATAATCTCTTTTTTCATTAAATCTTTTACCAACTAACAATTTAGAAATTTTCAGACAATTTTTTTGGTTATTATTTTTCATATCTGTTTAAATCTAATCCAATTATTATAAAACTGGGCCAAATTTATATAAAAATCTATAAATATAAAATTTTGTATATAAATAGTAGGTTTAAATAGATTATATTCAGCAAATACGTAACCAATCTGAAAAGAACGATATCCTAAAGGAGCCTAAGTAACTTAGGTTTGCTTCTATTATTCTTTAAATTTAATAATTTTTCATTTTTAATAGATTTAATTGATAATATTAATTATATTGTTTGTGTCACGTGACCAAAACTCCCATCTATCGCAGTGCAGTATACTGGTCGCGGGATACAGACGGAGGCATGTGACAATAATACTGCACTGCCATAGGTGGGAGTTCTGGTCATGTGATAGGGACGTAAGAATTATATTGTCAATTAAATCTATTAAAAATGAAAAATTATAAAATTCAAATAATAATAGGAGCAAACCTAAGTTATTTAGGCTCTTCTGGGATAAGGTCATTTTAGAATTGGTTGCGTATTTTCTGAATATATAATCTATTTAAACCAACTATTTGTCTGAAACATTTTATATTTATAGATTTTCGTTTAAATTTTACACAGTTTTATATCAATTTCTAGAGACAGAAACATCAGTAAGAACTGTTAGGTCTCAATCAACTCCTTAAATGCTTAGGTTTCCCCCTATACCCCCTTTCATTTTTCTTTTGCAATCTCTTTAATTACTTGATTACAAAATTAAATTATACTTTATTAGTTTTAAATTTAAAAATGCGATTGTTAAAAAATTCTTCATTTTTAGATTTGGTAAAAAGTTTTTATTTAATTTTGATCTCAACTTTTCCGTATTGCACTTTGATCACGGTTTAAAAAGCGTAAACAGTGATTGGTATTTCTATGATGAGATTTTAAAGTTTAAGTGGAGGGCGGGGACTCTAATCCGTGTTATATGTTGGTGTAATGGTGTTTGGGTGGATGTTGTTGATGTGTTTGTTTGTGTTTTTGTTTGTGCGTGTGTGTAAAAGTGTGTGTTTGTAATTACTTTGGTTGCCCACAATCTACACATATCCTAAACCAATGATAAATCTTAACACGCTCCTCCTATTATCCTTCTCATACTATTTTACTTATCCTAATCATCCAATCCTACTCATCCTATCCTACTCATCCTATCCTACTCATCCTATCCTACTTATCCTATCCTACTCACTTATTCTATACTCATCCTATCCTACTCATCCAATCCTACTCATCCTATCCTACTTATCCTATCCTACTCATCCAATCCTATACTCATCCTATCCTACTCATCCTATCCTACTCATCCTACTCATCCTATCCCACTCATCCTATCCTACTCATTCCTATCCTACTCATCCTATCCTACTTATCCTATCCTACTCATCCTAATCCTACTCATCCTATCCAACTCATCCAATCCTAGTTATCTTATCCTACTCATCCTATCCTACTTATCCTATTCTACTCATCCAATCCTGTTCATCCTATCCTACTCATCCTATCCTACTTATCCTATCCTATTTATCCTATCCTACTCATCCTATCCTACTAATCCTATCCTACTCATCCAATCCTACACATCCTATCCTACTTATCCTATCATACTCACTTATCCTACTCATCCTATCCTACTCATCCTATCCTACTCATTCTATCCCACTCATCCTATCCTACTCATCCTATCCTACTTATCCTACTCATCCTATCCTACTCATCCTATCCTACTTATCCTATCCTACTAAACATATCCTTGTTGTCGCTAAGGAACAAGATTCTGACGATGAACAGATAGACAAGGAATAACCCGCAAATCAAAATCAATAATACAGAAAACTCTTTATTTCCTAAAAAAAATGAAATGAATAATGATAAATAATTGATACAATGGTTTACGAATTTATAATGAAAAGATTCTTACGATCTATTTGCTTATTTGTGGGTTAACTGTCGGAGAGTCCTAAGATGCTTTTTATACATTAAAACTTCTGAAAAGAGTGACAATTAAATGTTAAGGAAAGTCACTAATTCTTTATATGAAAATATTCTTTGCTTAACTTTGAAGTGGTTCACAATTAATAAAAGTGTTTATACTCCGTTGTCGGAGAACAAAGAGAAGCGGCTGAAATAGTTTGGTTTGGTTTCTCGTCTCCGAGAGGAGCTTTTAGGTTGAAGACGACATTACATGGAGGGGGGGGGTCTTAATGTTAATGGTTGACAATCCTACTCATCCTATATCCTTCACATTCTATCCTACTCATCTTATCCTACTCATCAAATCCTAATCATTCTATCCTACTTATCCAACTCATCGTATCCTACTCATCCTATCCTACGTATCCTATCCTACCCAACCTATCCTACTCATACTATCCTAATAATCCTACCCTACTAATTCTATCCTACTCATTCTATCTTACTCATCCTATCCTTCTTATCCTATCCTAAAAATCCTACCCTACTAATTCTATCCTACTCATCCTATACTACTCATCCTATCATACTCATCATATCCTACTAATCCTATCCTACTCATCCTCTCCTACTCATCTTATCCTACTCATCCTATCATACTCATCATATCCTACTCATCCTATCCTACTCACCTTATCCTACTCATCATATCCTACTCATCCTATCCTACTCACCTTATCCTACACATCCTTCGGAGCGCATCTCTAGTCTCTAGAAATTAATCTAAAGACTAAATTAGTCTTGAAATTAGCAAAAAGAGAGGATCAAGTATTGATCTCGATATCCACCCTTTTAAAGTTTTCAGTTCAAAAATCTTTTTAGTTGCATCAATTACAAAACGTTTAACAACACATAAGTTAAATAAAAGGATGAGTAGAGACAACATTTATTCCACATTTTTCTGGTTCTTACTGTATCCTACTTTTTTTCATCCTTCTTAATATCCGAATAAAGATGCCCTGTGTGTATCACTATTAAGTATCCCTTAGTATTTCATCAGAGTGGATATTGATGTTATAATTAACCCTGATGAGATGGTAATTATGGTCGATTAAAGTGCAGTAATCGTTGAGAGGAAATATGTATCGTGAAACCAGGGATATGTTAAAGGTTCCCTGTTTAAGGATATATTAGGAGAAGAATGTTTTGGCTCGGGGGTCTCATCTCGAATACTTTAATGATGATTTGGGGTCGGCAAATTGTCCAAATATGGTTCGAAAGATCCCACCGACCAGATTTAGCGAGACAACTATGCTGCCATGTTAGGTCCCGACCTTTCAACCTTTCTCCTATTTGCGGACATTTTAGTTCTTTGAATCATTGTCTTTTCAATCCTCTTTACTTTTTTCTTTTTACTTGTCCACTGTTTTCTTTTTACTTATCCATTGTTTTCTTTTTACTTATCCATTGTTTTCTTTTTACTTATCCACTGTTTTCTTTTTACTTATCCATTGTTTTCTTTTTACTTATCCACTGTTTTCTTGTTACTTATCCATTGTTTTCTTTTTACTTATTCACTGTTTTCTTTTTACTTATCCATTGTTTTCTTTTTACTTATTCATTGTTTTCTTTTTACTTATCCGTTGTTTTCTTTTTACTTATCTATTGTTTTCTTTTTAGTTATCCATTGTTTTCTTTTTACTTATCCATTGTTTTCTTTTTACTTATCCATGGTTTTCTTTTTTACTTATCCATTGTTTTCTTTTTACTCATCCACTGTTTTCTTTTCACTTATCTTTTGTTTTCTTTTTACTTATCTATGGTTTTCTTTTTACTTATCCACTGTTTTCTTTTTACTTATCCATTGTTTTCTTTTTACTTATCCATGGTTTTCTTTTTACTTATCCATGGTTTTCTTTTTTACTTATCCATTGTTTTCTTTTTACTCATCCACTGTTTTCTTTTCACTTATCTATTGTTTTCTTTTTACTTATCTATGGTTTTCTTTTTACTTATCCACTGTTTTCTTTTTACTTATCCATGGTTTTCTTTTTACTTATCCATGGTTTTCTTTTTACTTATCCATTGTTTTCTTTTTACTTATCCATTGTTTTCTTTTTAGTTATCCAATGTTTTCTTTTTACTTATTCATTTTTTTCTTTTTACTTATCCACTTTTTTCTTTTCAATTATCTATTGTTTTCTTTTTACTTATCTATGATTTTCTTTTTACTTATCCACTGTTTTCTTTTTACTTATCCATGGTTTTCTTTTTACTTATCCGTTGTTTTCTTTTACTTATTTATTGTTTTCTTTTTACTTATCCATTGTTTCTTTTTACTTATCCATTGTTTTCTTTTTACTTATCCATTGTTTTCTTTTTACTTATCCATTGTTTTCTTTTTTACTTATCCATTGTTTTCTTTTATTTGAGTTCAGTAATTTTAGTTATAGTCTTGACGAAATTATGTGGAATTTAGTGTTTGGCCCACAAACTCTGGTTTTCTAATCTGATATTTATCGCAGACCTTAAATATTTCCAACTCTGTTATATTAAATATTGTCTCAGTTTGAAATTTTTCCAACTCTGTTATATCAAATATTGTCTCAGATTGAAATATTTCCAACTCTGTTATATCAAATATTGTCTCAGTTTGAAATATTTCCAACTCAAATATTGTCTCAGTTTGAAATATTTCCAACTCTGTTATATCAAATATTGTCTTAGATTGAAATATTTCCAACTCTGTTATATCAAAGATTGTCTCAGTTTGAAATATCGAAGGTTTACACCATCAGGCTGCTAAGAAGAATTAGAACATTTGAGTATGTGGCATGAGATTAAATCCTTTAGCACACTTTAAAAAAGTGTTAGATATAATGTGACATTTTGGCGTTTTTTGGACACAAAGTAACAATATTTTTTTTAATATTTTTTCATTGTTTTACATAAACAACGTGGAATCATGCTTTTCATCTGTTTTTGCTTTTTTTTGTACGTTATTGGTATTTTTATATTTATATTTTTATATAATAATAACTGTACTTTTATCAAGAACATCAGCTGTTTGTTTCTGTTTCGTTGAAATCAAATTGTGTTTCATACTTGTTTGTCTTAATGCATAATGTCATGAATAGTAAAACATATAGAAGGATTATTACGTGTTATAAATAGTAAAACATATAGAAGGTTATTACGTTTTATGAATTTCGAAAAACAGATAAATCGTGGAGAAATTAATTCTCATATTCTGTCAAAGCATACTTAGCATTAATTAGTTTCATGTGGATGGGGGGGATGTTAGTAAAGGTCAAGTAGAACGTATTATAACAGATAAAAGTGTTTTCTTAATCATGCTTGTTAAAACTCTGGGGGTTTTAATTCTGAAAAATGAGAAGGGTTCAGTAAAATGGAACAAAGTTAACAGTTTGTCATTTGTCAGATGAAACTTTTTATTCAACAAATTCTGTAGAAAACATTAACATTTTTTAGTCACATTTTATACTCAAGGTTTGCAATTTTTGCCCATGCGAATTGCGCGTTAACTCCATACTTAACCGTTAATATTTATATTTACTAATATTTAATGATTAAGAACTGTATTGGAGTTTTATATACTTGGTTATTGAAACTTCACTTACTCAATAATACCTCATCAGTCATCTTATTAGTGGCAAATTATACTTATTTATACTGACCTTTAATCACCTTTTACTAAATAATAATAATTACTAAATAATAATAATTAATACTTAGTTTTTAGTAAAATTAAGTTAATAAATCTTTTTACTTGACGCTCACTTTTTACCCCTGAAAGGGACTGTGAGCGTAATCTCCCTCAACCCTCCATGCAAAGTTTGCAATGCCTGATTTACAACGGTACCATTGAAAGTTTTCTGATCAAGTTTTAATTAGATATCAATGTTTTTGTTTCTTTAAACTGTTTATTTTCATTTGTGGTTTCTCTGTGAAAGTGACGTGTTTATAAGAAGCAATAGAGAAACTCACAGAACTAAACACTTTTCGAGTAAAAAAAAGAGACAGTAGCTTTGACATTTTTTATCTGATTAAGATTGCGAGGGTACCGTTGTAAATCGTGCATTGCCATCATTGTATGGAGGGTCACTTGACATTAATTTTACAGTCCCTTTAATATTTCATCATTTAACTGTTCACACTTCCATAATTCTGTTAATACTTACTTCGATTTTAATTTACTTCCATTGTTGAAGAAAAAAATGTATTATTCATTTTTTATTTATTTATAATTTTTTGCAGATTCCTTCAGTATTTCTACGCAGCGGCTAGGAGTGCAAGGAGGAAGAAGAGGGAGAATATTAGACTGTGTTACACCTGTTTAAGCTCCTAAAGGGACAGTTAACGGAATTCTAAGTGAACCTGTTTAAGTGTTACAGTACGTTTAAAACCTTCATACAACAAAGAAAAGAAAGAAAATTGACAGAATGTGTTTCTTTTCAAGATAAAAACTATAATACAAGTCCACTAGTTTTAAAAGGAAACGCTGTGAAACTCTTAAAGAGAGGAGTCACTTGAAATTTCGTCAAAAGTCCCTTTAAAGAACCTAGTCCAACATATTCATAGAGTGAAGCTAAAATATAAATCCAAAAATTTGAATGAATCCCAATGATCGCTAATTCTTCAGCTCTAGATTGGGATTCCCAATCCTCAGCATTAATAGTAGGTTAGGATTCCAAATCATTAGCTCTAAGGGTTGGGATTCCCAAACCTTTAGCTCTATGTTGTAATTTCCCTTCCTCAGCTCTAGGTTGTTGGGATTCCCAATACTCAGCTCTATAGGTTGGGATTCCTAATCCTCTGCTCTAGGTTGTTGGGATTCTCCATCCTCAACTCTATAGGTTGGGATTCCCAATCCTCAGCCCTATAGGTTGGGATTCCCAATCCTTAGCTCTTTAGGTTGGGATTGAGAACAATTTTCCACAAATGAATGTATCCCTAGAATTAATTGAATTAAAATAAGATCCCTGTAATACAGGGGTTCCTGTAATACAGGGGTTCCTGTAATACAGGGTTTCCTTTAATACAGGATGTCATGTAGAACAGGCTTTCCTAATATACAGAGTTTCCCGTAATAAAGGATTTCCCGTGATACAACGGGTTTCCTGTAATACAAGGTTTACCGTAATACAGGGTTTCCTGTAATACAAGATTTCTTGAAATACAGGGTTTCCTGTGATAAGGATTTCCTGCAATACAGGGTTTCCTGTAATAAGGGTTTCCTATAATACAAGGTTTCCCGTAACACAGGGTTTCCTGTAATACAGGATTCCCATGTAATGCAGAGTTTTCTGAAATTCAGGGTTTCCTATAATAAAGGTATAAGGGGTTCTTTAACTGATTTTTTGGGGTACCATTCCATGAGTTTCTAAAGATCCCTTTATTGCAATTTTTTATGAATTGATTATTTGTCTAAGTCAAGTTTTCTTCTTATTATTATTATTATCATTATTATTATTATTAGTATCATTATATAACCTTTTAAACCTATGATATATTTATTTGATCAAATGTATTTTACAATATGTGTGAACTTGTATTTCTAGATGTGTACACTGCGCACTGTAAAAATGAACGGTGATGAAAAGATTTTTTAAACCCAAGATGTTATTGATGAATTATACCTTGTAGAAAACCATTCAAAGTATTTGTAACCCAGCCATTAATGTTCTTTTTGCATTGTTCTTAATGTACATGTATTGTATCTTTTCCCTAGTCAAAAATGTTATCTTAATTTTTTTTGCTCCAAACTATAATATATTTGAAATATAAATCTTTTAAAAAATGTTCAATGGATCTTTACATTTTGATTGTTTCTTGTAAACAAAAAAATTGTGTTCATGGAAAGGGAAAGAAAGTGTTCATGGAGAGTGAAAGGAAGTGTTCATGAAAAGAAGTGTTCATGAAAAGTGAAAGGAAGTATTCATGAAGAGTGAAAGTAAGTGTTCATGTAGAATGAAAGGAAGTGTTCATGGAGATGGAAAGAAAGTTTTAATGGAGAGTGAAAGAAAGTGTCCTTGAAGAGTGAAAGTAAGTGTTCATAAAGAATGAAAAAGTGTTCACGAAGAATAAAAGGAAGTGTTTATGAAGAATGAAAGGAAGTGTTCATAAAGAATAAAAGTAAGTGTTCATAAAGAATGAAAAAGTGTTCACGAAGAATGAAAGGAAGTGTTTATGAAGAATGAAAGGAAGTGTTTATGAAGAATGAATGGAAGTGTTCATACAGAATGAAAGGAAGTGTTATTGAAGAATGAAAAGAAGTGTTCGTGAAAAGAAAATGGAAGTGTCCGGGAAGAGTTAAAAAAAGTAAACTCTTTTTTGCTAATCAGTTTTTGTATTAGAAACTTTTGATAAAAATGATATTAGTATCGATTGATATTTCTATATATATATACTTTCTTGTCTGGGTGTTTGTTTGGGTGTCTCCGTTTGTATCCGATAAAAGTCAAAACGGCTGAACCGATCGGGCCACAAAATTTTGTGGGACCTCAAATGACCCCAGAGAAGATTTATGGATAATCGAATTTTCAAAAATTTGACTATTTCTATATTTGAACATTTTGAAAATCCACGAAATTTTTTTTAATGAAATCCGCGAATTTTTCTTTTGTTTTTGTTTTAAGCGTATACAAAGAGAAAATGTTCACAATTTAAAAAGAAGATGGGCGCCCTAAAAGCTTAGTATATTTATACATTGCTTTTCTGTTTGTTTGTTTGTAACCGATAAACTTCCAAATGACCCTACCGATTAGACCCAAATCTTTTGTAGGACCCAACATAACCCCACGGAAGGTTTATGGATGCTCAGAATAACAAAAAATTGTCTCAAAATCTTTCTGATTTTTGTAAAATTTTGAAAATCCACGAAAAAAATTGTAAATCCGCAAAAAAGAATAATTTGTTTCATCAAAGAGAAAATGCTGAAAGACTAAATTTTGCTGAAAAAAAACTCTTTCTAGTAGTTCCTCAGTTTAATTTAAACAATTAGTTTAAATATAATTAGATAGCCTCGTAACATATATATGAGTAAAAATCCTTATACTAATATAATAATCATTTAATGTATGTAAAGGCCAAATTAATATAAAATCAGCCGATAGACAATTTTCCCTGCTTTAATTATAAATATGAAAATTTGAGAAACCCCTACATCCCTAATTCCCCTTTTTTCTTTTCTTCCCCCTTTCTTCCACCTTTCTCCCCTCTCTTTTCCCCTTCTTTCCCTCCTTCCTCCCTCTTTATCCTTCCCCCTTTATTCCACCCTTCTCCCCTCTCTTTTCCCCTTCTTCCCTCCTTCCTCAATCTTTATCCTTCCCCCTTTATTCCACCCTTCTCCCCTCTCTTTTCCCTTTCTTTCCCTAATTCCTCCCTCTTTACTCTTCCCTTTTAACTGTTTTAACCAATACATCACCCTTCCCCCAATCCTGCAATATATTCCAAGCTATTCTTATATTATTCAATCAAGTCATTACAGCGTACTTGAATCGGCCTGAATCTCTGCCTGAAAAAGTGGTTGATTGCCAGGCCTGTAATCAAACCGCTCCCATCTCTGCCTACGGCACTGCCTGACTTCATGTCACTTGTTTGAATATAAAAAGATAAGGGGGCCGACACGATCAGGGGTTTAAAGAGGTCAAACTCCCCCCCCCCCTCTATCCCTTTTTGAACCCTCCCCCCTCCTCAATTTATTCAAGTTTAATATTGATTCGTTCACATAAGTTGTAGAACAGGGACGAGAAACTTTTAAATGATTTAATGAAATTGGAATTTTGAGTCAAACTGAACTAAAAAGCCTTATTTCGTGGACCCTTAAAAGTTTAGGTTTATTGAGATCCCTAATAGCGAAAAAAGTACAAAAGTGTTACAAAACTAAAAGGTTCAGTTTGGTGGGACTCAATAAAAGGTTTAGTTTGGTGGGACTCAATAAAAGGTTCAATTTGGTGGGACTCAATAAAAGGTTCAGTTTGGTGAAACTCAATAAAAGTTTCAGTTTTGTGGGAGTCTGTAAAAGGTTCAGTTTGGTGGGACTCAATAAAAGGTTCAGTTTGGTGGGACTCAATAAAAGGTTCAGTTTGGTGAGACTCAATAAAAGGTGCAGTTTGGTGGGACTCAATAAAAGGTTCAATTTGGTGGGACTCAATAAAAGGTGCAGTTTGGTGGGACTCAATAAAAGGTTTAGTTTGAACTCAATAAAAGGTTCAGTTTGGTGGGACTCGAAAAAAGGTTTAGCTTTGAGGGACTCAATAAAAGGTTCAGTTTGGTAGGACTAGATAAAGGATTTAGTTTGGAGGGACTCAATAAAAGGTTCAGTTTGAACTCAATAAAAGATTCAGTTTGAACTCAATAAAAGGTTCAGTTTGAACTCAATAAAAGGTTCAGTTTGGTGGGACTATATTAAAGGTTCCATTTGGTGTAACCCTTGATGGGTTTGGTTTGGCGGGACCACTGAAAGTTTTGTTTGGTGGGACCCCTAAAAGGTTTGGTTTGGTGGGACCCCTGAAAGGTTTGGTTTGGAGGTGAGGACATCTTCATCGATCATTTACTGTGCACACTTACACTAAGCACACACAAACACACACACTGCACACAGACACATCCTTCCTTTCTACTTCTCTGTATTCTCCCATCCTTCCTTTCCAGTTCCTTATATCCTCCCATCCTTCCTTTCTTCTTCTCTATATCCTCCCAACCTCCCTGTCCACTTCTCTATATCCTTCCATCCTTCCTTTTTCTACTTCTCTATCTTTCCATCTTTCCTTTCCATCTCTCTGTATCCTCCCACCCTTCCTTTCCACTTCTCTATATCCTTCCATCCTTCCATTACACTTCTCTATATCCTCCCATCCTTCCTTTCCATTTCTCTATATCCTCCCATCATTCCTTTCTATTTCTCTACATCCTCCCAACCTTCCTTTCCACTTCCCAATTTCCTCTCATCTCCATTTTCACTTCTCTATATCCTCCAAACCATCCTTTCCAGTTCTCTATGTCCACCCATCCTTCCTTTCCACTTCTCTAAATCCTCCGATCCTTCCTTTCCACTTCTCTATATCCTCCAAACCTTCCTTTCTACTTCTCTAAATCCTCCGATCCTTCCTTTCCACTTCTCAATATCCTCCCAACCTTCCTTACTACTTCTCTAAATCCTCCCATCCTTTCTTTCCACTTCTCTATATCCTCCCATCCTTCCTTTCCACTTCTTTAAATCTCTGTATTCTTCCTTTCCACTTCTCTATATCCTCCCATCCTTCCTTTCCACTTCTATAAATCTCTATATCCTTTCTTTCCATTTCTCTATATCCTCCCATCCTTCCTTTCCACTTCTTTAAATCTCTGTATTCTTCCCTTCCACTTCTCTATATCCTCCCATCCTTACTTTCCACTTTTCTAAATCTCTATATCCTTTCTTTCTACTTCTCTAAATCCTCCCATCCTTCCTTTCCACTTTTCTAAATCTCTATATCCTGCTTTTCCACTTCTCTATATTCTCCCAT